GAAGCTTATAAACTTGGGTTTATAAGGTCTATGCCCTAGTATGAACACAGGCTGATTTCCATCTCCAGCTACTGTTAGCTCAGATATCCACCTCTCCCCAAATATACACTTTGATCTATCTACAGGTAATCACTCTATGCCCCATGAGGATTTCTAACCTGTTAAGTAACTTCCTGATCATCAGCAGGAGTTCTAATTATCCATTTCAGGCATTCTCCCCAACTCTTATCTCTCTCTAGGAAGGCTAGAATGTACTACCATTTAAACTAATTTGAAGAATACTATACAAATAAGGTTCTTTTTTTTTTTGACACCAAATTAGTTCACCTAAGTCTGGTAGCAGGGGTGATCAGAAAATTTCCTTACCATAAAATATTAAAGTTAGACCTTAGAGAGATCATCTAGTCCAAGGGTTTTTAATTTAGAATCTGTGAACTTGTACTTTTTAAAAAATATTTTGATAACTGTATTTCAACATAGTTGCTTTCTTTTACATTCCTACATATTTTATTTTATGCAGTTAAGAGCAATATTAGGAGAAAGGGTCCATGGGCTTCACCAGATTGCCAAAGGGTTCATGACGTTCACCATATACGCACACCTGATTTAGTCAAACCCCCTTATTTAACAAATGAGGCAACAGAGACCCAAAGGGATCAAGTGACTTTCTTGCATAACTTGTTAGTGGCAGAAACAGGATTACAACTTAAATCCCCTGATTCTTAAACTAGTGCTTTTATGTTATTTGTGTAACAGACCTCTGCTGTTTGGAACTTGGTGGCTTGTCACCTGGACAGAATCTCCCAGAAGGCATTGTTGATCTAGCCCTGGAGGTTTCTGCAGGGTGAAAGTATGAGGCTTAGCTAGGACCTCTCTGGGAACTGAAAATTTTTAAGTAAAGGACAATGGAATGATAGAGCTAGGAAATTTTACTCTCCTCTACCTGGAGAAGAAGTTCTCCATTCCATAACAAAGAATCCATTAAAGAACGACAAAGATGGAGCAGGCTCCTACCCAGCCCAGCTGTTGAGTGATAGGACAGTGGTGCTGCCAGTGCTATCGGAGCTGCTGACTATAGTCTGGGTGTCACAGCCCTCAGCACTACCCAGTGCCAACTGAGGACCAGGGCACCATTGCCCCTTTTCCATTGTTTCCAAACAAAGGCCACTGTACCAGATCCCATCTTTGTTGACAGTTCTCCTGGGAGAAGATCCACCCAGTGCAATAGACCACCCCAAGCCTGAGGGTTAAGATAAGCAATTATATTAATAAAAGTATATTTGGTGACCCTTAGGTCAAGTTCCGTGCAGTGATCCTCATTCTGTCTTAGGGACCAAGCTAAAATCAATCACTTTTGAAGCACTGTATACGTGCTAGACGTTGTGCCAGGAACTAAACCTTCTTCCATGTGGCAACAGAGTGAATACTTAAAGTCACAGGATTATAGATTTTGGCCCAACACAAGTTGGTGTTTAAACAAGCCACTTGAATTACACTTTTCTTTCCTTCCTACCTTGTTGGTCAAAAGGCTGAGTCTTCTTCCTTTTTAGACACACACACACACACACACACACACACACACACACACACACACACACACACACCCCCTCCTGTTTCCACCCCAGGGTTGTTGTAAACCAGGAAGAATGCCGGGGACTTAACTTGAGGACTGTTTTTGGATGGAAGTGTTAACTTTTTGCTCCCAGGTAGATTGACCTGAAATCCAACTGTAGATCCTTTGGTCAAGGGATATAGCAGAGCTGACTTCCTTACTAAGTAGGATGCTTAGTGCCTAGCACATAGTTGGTATTTCAAAAGTGACTGATTCTTCTTGGCCCCAGAGGGCAGAGCTGGAAAATCTTCATGGAAATTTCAGAGGCAAATTTAGGCCCGGTATGAGGAAAACTTCTTGACAATTAGATCTATCCAAAAGTAGAATTGTTTGGCAGGGGTCAGGGTGGGGGAAGGGGGAAGGAAGTATTGGCAAGTAAGTTCCCTATCCCTAGATGTCTTCAAAGTCAGGGTAGCTACTACAGTATATTTTAGGAATGCACTCTTATTGAGTTAGTGAGTGGACTAGATGTTCTCTGAGATCCCAACTCTGAGATTCTGAAATGGAAATGAAAAGTTGTTTCTCTTCTGTTGAGCATGTATCAGAGGAGGTGTTACTATTTCCTGACTATTTTTCCTGTGCATCATTCTTATTACTTGTCATAGCTGCAATATTGGCAACCAGTAGACTTTCCTTATCCTGCAAGTCAGTCATACAATTTGAAACACCTGTTGTGTACAACTTGAAACAAATAATCACTCCACTACAACCATGAGACTGTCTAGTGCACCACTTTGCATTCCCAGTACTGGCATACTACCCTACATGTGGTAGGAACTCCCTAAATGTGTACTGGTACCCTTTTTGGAATCTCTAATCTTATCTTTAATTCCACCTGCAATGACAAATCTGGCCACCAACACCCACAAATATGACCCACATTTCCTCCCTGGGAGGGATGTAAACTTGTTAGGTTATATGCACATTTGTTTACATGGAAACAAAAATAACCTTGCTGTGGCCTGTGCTAGGGAGATATAGATCAATATTTTCTACTAAGTGACCCAAGACTCCAAGGACAAGGAGATCACTTTGTCTTATGTTTGTCTTCTGTTAAACTAGCCTCTTGGGAGAAGAGAGGCAGTGGCCACATTGGCATTCCCAGATCTATCACTTATGTCCTGATATGATAGCTTCAAGATCCTGCTCCTGAGGTCCCCAATCCCAGCCTGCCCCAGGATATTTGCAAAGAATTTCTATAAAAATAATTGTTAATATCATCAACAGTGTGGTTAGTGCAAAGACTCCTGGACTGGAATCAGGAGACCTGATCCAGTCTTAGTCCTGTCTCTCACTAGCTGCAGAACTTCAATCATTCTACTTCTCTGGGCCTCAGATAACTGCAGATAACAGATATGATAACTTCTAATGTCTCTTCACACTCTAAAACTATAATTTTACTAAGTAAAATGTTTCCTTGGTAGCTCCTCTTCTGAGTAGAAGTTCAAAAAACCTGGATAGACGCTTTCAGGGAATTAGCAAAAAAATTAAATCTTGTCTTATTATTGTTAGTTTTATTGCTACATTTTGCTTCTAAATCAACCAGTTCCATTTATTCATCTCCCCTTCACACACTGAGCCTTTTCTTGTGACAAAGAAAAAAGTTTAACAAAACCAATCCACAATCAAAGCAACTGTCAGATAATGTATGCAAAATTCCACGTCCATATCTCCCCATTCTACCTCACCCCCAAACTAAAGGAGGAAGGTTGCTTCATTTTTACATAGTTCTTCCCACTCTTTTTAATATGTACTACAGTAGTCTGTGTAGGACCCTTGCATTGATCCTGGCCTTAAGGTTCACTGTCTAGATTTTTCCCAGTATATTTCATGAAGCCAAGACTGATTTCTGGCAAAATCCCATTACTTGACATGTTTCCTCTTTCTAGGCTTGTGACTATGAGGAGTATTTACATTCTTTTGGAAACCATAACCGTTTCTCACCCTTCTCACCATCCCTTACTCTGAACTACAAAGACTTATGGGACCATAGACTCACATTACTCAGGCATCTACTACCGTGTTATTTGTCCCCAACCTTCATGTGATGTGCCCCTTATTCATTTTCATGAGAGCTCTCCAGTCACATGATCCAAGCTTTATTAGGGCAAGCACCTAATTGACAATAACCTCCAAAGTAATGAGACAGGTCCTCCCAATTTCTTTGCTATGTAAACCTCTTCATCTGTGTCTCCTTCCTGGTGATACTACCCTTCCTTGGTGAAATAAAAAGAGCAGTAATGTGGAGCCACTTAGGTTGGGGGACTGTGGGATAGAAAGCAGAGATTCTTCCATCATTCCATCTAGACTATAAATATAAAAGTAGCCCCTGAATTCAAAGGGAACTTTAAGTTCCCGCTCCTCACCTATCCCTTTCCACAGGACAAGGACCAGTAAGAAGTATATCACTGAGACACACTCAGGAACAAGCATAGTTAAAGAAGAAAGGTTGCATTTTTCCCAACCCCAGACTGGCCAGATAGGGATAAGGACTGAATCTATGATTTTGGTATAGGAATCTCCCTCTACCAATGTGGGTAAGCACCTTCTTTGTAATTTACAATCTTAGAGAGTTGTCTAGTGTTCTGAGATGTTAAGTAACAAGCTCAGGGTCACACAGCCTGCAATATGTCAGAGATGGGGCTTGAACCCACATCTTCCTGATTCCAAGGCTAACTCTCTCTTCATTCTACCATGCTGCCTCTCAGACTGGGATTGGCACAAAGGAAAAAGAAAACTGCATCTGTAACTATCCAATTTGACCAGATCTCTATCAAAGTCATTTGGCAGTGGGTGAACTTATTCTCTACACCCTGAAATTTCATGCCTAGCCCATGGTTGAGAAGGTTGTAGGTTGGGCAGATTCTGGAGAATGAGAGGGGACATAGTAAAGATGAGGTTAGTTTCCAGGTCTTGCTTTTTCTTAACACTCTGGGATGCTTGCTAGGCAGCTTTTGAGAACTTTCATCTAAATAGAGCCCCACATGTGGAAGCCAAGGAATACTTTGACATTCCAGAGATTCTGAATTTGACCAAGTACACACATGTGACCAATCACCCAACAGAGAGCCAGCTAGAATGGCAGTCTACATTTCCCAACCCTTTCCCTTCTGTGGCACACCTCTAGATTTCTATACTATGTGATACACAATGTACTGGAGAGAGAGAATAGGAAATGATAGGGAAAGAGATGTTGATCATTTATTTCATTAATAAATTATTATGAAACTGAAATTAGATTTATTAAATAAAATCTCCTTAAATGAAAAAAAAAGCTTCATTTTGAGAAAGGTGGGGCAAAGAAAGTCTCAAGAAGTGATAAGTCAAATGTGTACTCATGAAGGCTTAACCACAAATGAGAAAGTAGGCCAAGCGAGCTAAATGTGAAAACCAGGTTAAACAATCTGCCTGTGGGCCCTCTCCAGTTCAGGCCTGGAGAAGCTTGAAGAAAGTTCCTCTTCTCACAGCGACCTTCAACCCCCATCTACTTGTAATTTCCCTCTGTACCCCACTGAGGTTTAGAGAATGTGGAAATAACCCAGGGACTGCCCAAATAATACATCAAGGAAACAGTAAGGAAAGCAGTTCTTCAAAATGACTACACTGGTAAGAATTTAAGTTCCTTTCATTTTATTGCTATCATTTCAGTCTTTAAACACTCTCACTCTATCATATCAGGTCAATTTATAGTTTCGTGAATGTTTTACAATCAGTTTAAGATAAGGCTACTAGATGCTTTCTCCAGGACTCAGTGAGGATGGAAGGGGGTTTGTCCATGGTCACTAGCTTCTTGTCACAGACCTGGGACCTGGAACTCACAACAGTTAAGCACAACGTCTCTTTCTATTGGTTCCCTCACTCAGCTTCTTTCCTCCCCTCCTACTACTGGGGGAGAAGAGGACCTGACAGAGGGAACCAAGCATACTCTATTAAATACTTTTGATCTATACTTCTTCCCTTTCCTACCCCCCACCTTTCTACTTCCTTATGTCTGAATCTTATTTCATTCTCACAAGTGCTCTAGCTTTTAGACTAGCAATCCATTTCATGGGTACCCAAAATAACCAGGGTCGCTCTTTCTGAGTTAGGAAGGGTTAACCAGGCCCAACTACATGTGATACAAAAAAAACCCCATGAATTAGGGAACATGGAAAGTGAAAGATAGAAGATAGAGGGAACCACAGGGAGCCTCAGCCTAGAACTTGGAAAAGGATACACAGGAAACGTCAGATGTTGGGAAGTCAGTTGCATGATCATTGTTAGAGGCAATATGATGTAGCTGAAAAGGCTCTGGATTTGGAGTCAGAGGACCTAGGTTTGAATCCCAATTCTGCTACTTACTGTGTGGCCTTAACCTTACTTACCCTAAGTCTCAGTTTCCTCATCTCTAAAGTGAGGAGGTTGGACTATGTAATCTAAAGTTCCTTCCAACTCTAAATTCTGTGATCCTATTATTAAAGATAACTCACTTTTCTAAACAAAATTTAAGTATAGCTCATATCTAAGGTCTTGACAAAACATGGGTAACAAGGTCTGTCCTAGGAAAGGTATTCAATATACAATATGAATGTCAAATACAGGTCAGTGGTTTATTTCATTCACCACAGAAAATGCTTAAAACACAAATGATTTATCATATATCAACAAATACAGAAACATAAAAATAATAATTCCATCAGATTTGTTATACTCTCATAGGAGGCAAAAACAACTTTATGGGACTGCAAAACATATTCATGTTCAGCCTGCACTCCCTGAACAACTCACGAGCTCTGGATCTCCTGGTCAGTCTGAAAATTGGGTGGGTTTTGTCAGTAGTTATCTTCTTTTTAAAGTTAAGGAAATCCTGTTCTGATAGACAGCTGGAGCCCAGCTCCAGAATGCTCAAATTATTGACCTCATACAGTTTCTGTCAGTATTAGAAATGATCATTTCTCAGGATATCTGTTAGCTGGCCTATGTTTAGGGAAGAAAACAGAAAGCCAAAGGCAATCCAAGACTCGTGAATGACCAGGCAAGCACATACTTCCTGCTGCCATGGACTTGTAGCTACTGCTGCTGCTGGAGGGGAAAATATGGGATTCCTCTCTTCCCACTTCTTGCTGAAAGGCCAGGGAAGAGAAAATGCTGGTGGATCATAAAAGAGGCAGGGGCTGTTTTTCCTCAGTTCCTCATAGAGACCTTCGTATTTGTTCTTCCTTCTGAAGTGGTCCAATGACATCACAGATTGATATTCTGACTTATGCATGAATTGTATTTAAATGAAGCAAAGTTACACAAAGTTCTCAGCCTTATTCTTTCTTTCATAGTCATTGAAGTCCAGTGGCAAGAGAAAAGTCAAAAGAGTGGTGACGGCTCAGGATGCAGTGGATGACTTTGGTGAATTCAATGTCTGACCAAGCCGTAAGTACTCCACAGCACCTACTTCAGCCTCCTTCTTGGAACAAATTGTTTTCATTCACTTATTCCACTGGGGGAAGTCTTCACATACTTGGAGTAAAGACTCCTCTAACTCACTGATGGATTTGAGGCCCATCATTTACCTTAGTTTAATCTGTCTGCTAAGATGCTTTATCAGGGTATAGCCACTGCCTATGCTGCAGCTTCTTGGAGTCACAGGTGAGAGTTGTGTAAAAGATGGACACCAAAGGTGGATGAGCAAGCCCTCAAAGAAGGTGGTTCCTTCCAACCAATCATCAATCATCTTTGGCATAACCCTGCCAATCATGGGAACCAAAAGTAAAGAATTACTATGTCATTTCATCAAGGCATATGTCATTTAGCAAGGAGCGAGAGTGTACATATGGCTCCGTTTCCTGACCTGTCACTTGCTGCTACTGGACCCTCCAGTGGAACCTCCAGAGATCATGCCCTGGAAGAGCCTTGCTCTGTCCTAGGGTCAGGATGTTCTAATTGATGTCCTAATCAGCTCTAGACATGACCACGTTCTCCCACCTCCTGACATTTTCCAATCTTTTGCTGAACATATTCCTTCCTATAACTGCCAATCTTCTCACCTCTTGCTCTGGCACCCATAGTTAAATCAGCCCTACCTTTTGGAAAGTGCATGTCAGTTGGCTGCCTTATTTTCTCATTCGCCATCCCTGTGACCTTCCAACCAAAACACCCTTTCCTATGGAAAATCCTCATATATATTGTCTTTCCCATTAGAAGATGAACTCCTGCAGGGTAGGATTATTTAGTATTTGTATCCACAGAACTTAATTTTGTGTCTGGCACAAAATTAAATATTTAAATAAAGCTTATTTATTCATTCACTAATTGGAGGCACCCCAGTACAGCAAACCAGGGGGTTTCCCTGATATTACTCTCTACCATATAAAGTAAACACAATATCAATTAAGCAAATCATCCCTTCAAGCTTTATTTGATCATAACATTCAATCCAACTTATATCTGACAATAAAACAAATTCAGATAAATTTTCATCACTAATACTCTACTTCCTAAAGTTTCACATAGCTCTCTGCTAAATTTTGTCAAATTGATAACATTTTCCCCATAAATTTTGACAATTTCTGCAAGGAAAGCATTTTTAACATTTAAAAATTAAATCACAAGTCAAAGGATATGAACAGTCAGTTTTGAGATGAAGAAATTAAAGCTATGTATAGTCACATAAAAAATGCACTAAATCACTATTGATTAGAGAAATGCAAATTAAAACAACTCTGTGGTACCACCTCATACCTATCAGATTGGCTAACATAACAGAAAAGGAAATTATAAATGTTGTAGAAGCAGGAAAATTGGGACAGTGGTGCATTGTGGATGGAGTTGTGAACTGATCCAATCATTTTGACCCAGGATACATTACTATGTCTGTATCCCAAAGAGATCATAAAGAAGGGAAAGGGACCTACATGTATAAAAATATTGACAGCAGTTCTTTTTGTTGTGGCAAAGAATTGGAAATCAAGGGGTTGGCTCATCATTGGGGAATGGCTGAACAAGTTGTGGTACATAAATGTAATGGAATACTACTGTGCTATAAAAAATGATGAGCAGGTGGATTTCAGAAAAAATCTGGAAAGACTTACATGAACTGATGCTGAGTGAAGTGAGCAGAACCAGGAGAACATTGTACATAGAAACAGTTAACTCTGTGCGATGTTCAACTATGATACACATAACTCTTCTTAGCAATACAATGATCAAGACAATTCCACAGGACTTATGATGGAAAATGTTATCCACATCCAGAGAAAGAACTATGGAGTCTGAATGCAGATCGAACCATACTATTTTTCTTTCTCGTGATTTTTCCCCTTTTGTTCTGATTCTTCTTTCAAATGATTAATGTAGAAATATGTTTAACATGATTGTACATGTGTAACCTATATTGGATTGCTTGCTGTCTTGGGGAAAGGGAAAAGAAGGGAGGAAGGGAGAAAACTTTGGACCTCAAAATCTTACAAAAATGAATGTTGAAAATTATCTTTACATGTAATGAGAAAAAATAAAATACTACTAAGTGGGGGGAAAATTAAATCACAGAGCATATTTCATCTACAGAATGTGGTTAAGAGAGTAATTTTACCAATCCCTTGCTATATGGATACTTGCTTTGGATTTTCATTTTAACAGACAATGGTAATTTATATCTATTTTTCACTATATGAACTACTTTTTCATTACAGACAAATTTCTCCATGTGACAAGCATGACAAACATATATGTAGAAGAATATGGTATATTAGGTAGGCAGAAGATATACTTATCAATCCCCTCCATTTGTCCAGTCTGCTGCCAACTAGTCTGTCTGATAATACACAAACAAAAAGACTCTATCGTGATTTATTTATTCTATTATTCATTCAATTTTACTTTATTTTTTTCCATATGTCACCCATGACACCAGATCCAGTCTACCTCCCTATTTTAGATAGCTCAATGCCCACACTTGTTCTGCTTTCAACAAATATCATTAACTACATTTAGGTGTTTATTATATGGGTACAGTTGCTTTAAGTAAAAGGAGTGATTTGGAGGGATCCAGGAACAGTATATAATTTTCACCATTAAAATGAATGGAAATAGGGTTTTTATAATATAAATTCACCTTAAGGGGAATAGATTTTGTCCTCTGCACATAGGGACAGATTGATGTGTTTGAAAATAAAAGCAGGTTCCCCAAAGTCACAAATAGCAAAAGCTGATATACCTTTATACCATGCTTGCCTAGCTAAGACCCTGTTCAAACTGCCAGTAGCAATCAGTGCCCATTTCTGCTAGAGATAGGGTGAAGGGGAAGGGGGAAGTGCCCATCCTTCATGGGATTCCCTGAGAGACGGAAATAGAGTTCCTTACTATATGTTCTAGAGACAGGAAAGGAGAGCTCAGAAGGTGGAGTCACTCCATTTAACATCTACTAGTGGGGGGTCTCTTTCTGACTCTAGCCAATCCTCCCTACTCTAGCTTTGATGTACTAACCCTAAATTCCCAACCCCACCTCCCATATGTGGGGGACAAGGGTGGCAGAAGACCAAGGGACTATTCACAATTTGCTGAGTCATTCAAAATGCCAAGTCTATAAGCTCTGAGCCAACACAGATGACTCACAAGAAAAGACCAGGGCAATTGTATCATTACAAAGAGCCCAGCTCCAAGGATACTACATAGTATATATATATATATATTCTAGAAACAGTTAATAGTCAGGAAGAAGTTATCCCTGATTACACTTGTAATGGGAAATTGGTAAACATATATATCTGATGCAATATCCACCTGACAAAGGCTAGGGTCTTGTTTCCCAAAAGCCATGATATTGTATATGGGAGAGAGCATGCACAAATATTATTTTTGGTTTGCTTATCTCATGAGAAAATGGAGCCTTTCGGTTGGTTTTTGATCTAGACAGAGAATGAATTCAAGAGACAATGACCAGCCTAAGGACTTCCTCTTTCCTACCTGACTGTGTTCTGCTTTGGAGGCAAGGAGGACTACTCCCCTTGGTGGGCAGAGAGACCTCAAGTCTGTATCTCCCTGCCCAGGCCACATCAATGTGGCCTATAAGTAGAGTCCAGCTATTCCTTCTGTGTTTGTTATATCTATTCATACCTGCTTTGGGGAGAGGGAGAATTGTAAATGGACGAGTTTCAAAAGGCCAGAAGAGTGAGTACCAGAATTCTAGGAGCTGGCCTTTGTGTCAGGAGGACTTGCAGGCCGAAAATGAGTGAGGTCCTAAAGAACAACTGGCCAGCACTCTGCCCCACCAAGTTAGAGCAGAGATGCTGACATCTCTGTTAGGATAGGCCCATTTGGAAAGAACTGGTGGCACAAATAGGGACTGAGGTGGTGTAAGGAATTTACCTACAGGTGTTGGGAAGAATTGTTTATAAATTCTGTTCTTGCTATATCCTCTCAGTATTCCTTTGTAAAAAGCTTATTGATATTAATTAGTTAAAAGATACTAGAGCACTAATGACTAACGAATAATATTGAAAAGAATATATTAAAGTGGGGGCTTGAGCTTATAGCTTTGGAAAGTCACCCCTAATCCATAAGGGATACCCCTGGGCTTTAGAGGGAGATGTAGCTAGTCTTGCTCACTCTGGGAACCTTATCTACTGGTGAGCATAAAGATTAGGGGCATAAGTTCAGAATCTGGCCACATACTCTTTAAAAAAAAGTATTGGATAGCCAACAAATGTATTATACTTACATATTATATTATCAATATTTTATATTATGTGATTTATCACTTGTATAATATGATACAAATACTGTATATTATGTAAAATTATATAGAATATAAACAATATATATAATAATTATAAGCATACATCATATGATTTTAAAAACAATATTAGGTGCATATATAACACATAACCTATTGTTACTAACATTAACATATAAAAATATATATTATATTTATTACATATTAATATACCTAAAGCACCATTAGATTAGAAGGGCAGAGATCAAAGAAAGATGAGTAGGAGAGTGAAAAAAAAAAGGATTAGGAAGATGAAGGTGATGGAGAGGGGTTTCAACAAATTAGTCTCACAGGTAATTGAGTGATACAAGCACTCTCCCTCACACAGAATTAGAAACTTAGGAATATGTCATTCTGCTCTTGCCAATTTACTTGACAGCTTTTTTCTCCCAAACCTCAAGAAGGTAATTAAGTTGTTACCAGAGGTGAAAGAATACAAATTATATACCAGAGGGCCTATCTCACTGAGGGCAGAAGGACAAGTTCTTGGGTGGAGTAAATTCAACAGCAAGGAAAGGAATTAACAAAAACTTCAAGTATCCCCTTACTTAAATGTAAATGCACATTTTCTTTAGCAAACTGACCTGTGACCTAGAAACTAACATACCAAAAGACTTATGTCAGAATCAAGGCTTTAAAGCATGTGTCTACCACGGGAGAA